AGTTATGGGATGAAATCGGATAGGGATGAACGGGTTTAAGAGTTTTAAGAGTTTAAGAGTTTTTAAGAGTTTTAGCCAAATGCATTATAATATAGTATAGATATATATATATATATATATATATATATTAATAGTTAAAGCCACATAATTGAATAATTCTTACATTCATTCGTCATGAAGATATATTTAATAGGTTTGCAAAGTCTTAAGGATTTATTTAATGAGTGTCAAAAAGTTCAATGACTTATTTATTCAAAAAAATTGTCCAATGACTTAATCATTCCAAACAGGAAAGTCCATTCGATTTTTTTTGAGACTTTTCTCTACAAAATTACAAATAATTTTTGGGCAAAAGCATCAAAATACAACGAAGTTCGGTTTAGTTCCTATTTAATGTAACAAAGTTATTTTTTCCCAATTACTGTAAGGAACTTCTATTTTTTTTTCTTCCTATTCTATACATACTTTAACCTGCAACCTATTGATCCGGTAACATTGGATGATTGGATGCCATGCTGTCAGTTACATATTTACACCAATTACATGGAAACATTTACATATAATTAGAAATCTAAACAAAAAGTCAGAGAAAAACAGGCTAAAAGAGATATCATGAGATAAGAACAAAACTCAAGATCCAAAACTTGGGGATAAAGTAAGGTTCATATTTCAGAATCTACTTCTAAACTTCAAACCCATAAAATAATTTGCATTAAAAAAACTAAGTTTAATTTTTTTTTCCCCAAATATTGATGGATTCTATATAGAACATCATTTCATCTTTGCAAGTACTTGGCAGGAAAGTAAACGTCTATTGGACGTCACTTATTTTTATCGTGTGAATATGGCAAGACCAAGAATCTTACCCGGTAAGAGGCGACACAAGAACGAGAGTCTTGTCCGGTACGTGAGTGAAAAAACTCTTACCTGGTAAGTATTTATCAGGTAAAAACCATTTACCAACGATCAATTTTGATGGTCGAGAATGTTGATAAGGTAAGAGGTGACCCTTGTGGGTACGCATTTAGTAAACGACCCCTTAGTTACTTCTTGATTCATGACTCACATGATAGACAAAGAGAGTGAATAATATAAGAGGAAAAGAAACATGTTCAAACGACGTTTAGGCCTTGAAAATCTTCTATCTAGGACACGCTTCTCATTCAAAGCTTCTAATCGACGTATTATGCACTTGAAACGAAGTCTCATAGCAAAATTTATGTGCGTTTAAGCATAACACTGTCTGTTAGCCCAATCATGAACCTTCAGGAATATTAGGGCCTGATCCTAGCGCACATAAGAAAACTATCTTTACGATCTTACAACCAATTATTAGCCCAGACTGCTAATCCCACAAACGCAACTTTTGGGTGAAGAATAGCTAGAATGAACCGTGCAATGCACACTTCCTTAAAAGTTAAAACCCATGAAGGATTTGGGTTTTATTGATGGTGAATTCGATGATCGAATTCATGTCAATTCAATGTTGGTTTCATGATCATGAACATTACTGAAGCGGATTTTTTTCTCTACTAGTACTTATCAGGTATCAGCTACGAAATGATATTAAAATATTTATTTTGCATTCCTCTAAGTACGAGACGATCAAAAACAAAAATAAAGCCTATATAATACAGTAAAAAAAACAACATCATGTCCAAAAGAAGACGAAGTTTCTAACACTTGTTGTCAAGTTGAAACATTGATTTTATCGGTCTATTTAGAGGTTAAGTAGCCGATATTTTAAGAGTCTTACAATAAGTTAATAGTACGTTTAACAAGTTTTTTAAAAATATTTTATAAAAAAAAATATCGTATTAAATATTTTATATGACACTTTAAATAGGATTTGCCCGGAAATATTACCATACCATACCCTTTTGGAACTCTAAGAAGGATGCTACTTGGACTTGGAGCTCTTACTACATAGAATGTAAGGGGCGTTTACTAAACACTACCTGCGAGTCACGTTACCTTATCGGATGAATATGATAAAGACCAAGAATCTTACCCGGTAAGAGCAAATACAAGGAACATGAGTCTTACACAGTAAATGAATGTGATAACTCTTACCACGGTTAGAGCTTACCAGGCAAATAGTTGCATACGGTATTATTTTAATGGACTAAAATCTTACCCGATAAGTAAATGATAGTATTAATTTTATCGGTAAGCGCTTACCGGGTAAGCATTTGGATAAAACGCTCTATAAGAGTGATGTTTATAGTTTTGGAGTTGTTCTCATAGAACTACTTACTGGAACGACCATTCGATATCGCTTAGATTCTATGAGGGTGCAGCGACATACCTTGCTTCGCTACTGGATCGTGATGCATTGGTTCAAGTTCTTGATGATCAACTCAAGAAAGATGAGCATTTTGAGGTGCCTTAACCTTGAAGGGAACACAAGGCCTACAATGAAAGAAGTAACACAAGAGCTCAAGAAACTAAGATGTGTTTTGTCTTCAATTGAAGCTGAAAGCATTTAGGTAATTAACCTCCACAAAATCCTTATTTTCTCTTTTATGAATATAAAGGAAGATGTTTCCAACTTGGGATTCTGATGCAGCGTATAATAATGAAAATGAAGATTAAATTCGTTGATTCCATGCATACCCACGGTAATCTCGCTAAAGCTCGTTGATTCAACGAATGCCGAACCTTTAGGCTTCAAATTCGAATTCTCGTGAACTCAGAATTTGGAAAGAAAATGGAAGTTTGTGCGTTTCAAGTCTACCCATCCAATCTTTTTCGCTGACAACTTGTTATACTCCCCGACCGAAACCCAACTTTTAGTCAATACTGCCCAAACAAAGTCACGATTCACGAACCTGAAAATCGGCCTTCGTGCGCTCTCTGATCAATTTTTAGTAAATAAATGAAGGTTTCTAAACTTATTCTGGACTCCATACGACAAGCTCTTCTCCAAGTTATCATTACTAATTTTTAACATGATCGGTTAAAGGCTCTCGGATGTGGAATGGGTCATGGCCCGTGCGATTTTTATCTCCTAGGTAGGTAAAGCTTAGCCCACTAGTTAAAAATTTTATTTTTTCCTGTAGTTTCCACATTTTCACTTCTCCTTAAGTCCAATTAGAAGGCTTGTGTTTCGCTGTTGGGTGGGTCATGAAACATGTACCTTAGTTCGAAGCCATACGCACCCCAAGTCGCAAATATTGTAGTAGCTATTTAATTAACCTACTCCAAGGCTAGGTCATGGTTCTAAGTCACCTATACTCTTGTGACCGAACCCGCCAGTTGGGGCTGTCATACTTGATGCGTGATGGCTAACCCAGCCAGCTGCATGTGTTAGTTTTTCTGGGTGTGTTGGTGTCAAACAAAAATAACTAAAACTGTATACTTTCTTTACTTTAAACGTACAATCTCAAATCCCTAATCCATTTCTAAGATGTAGTCAAAATTTCCACATGGTTTTCTTCAAATAATGCAGGCACTAACATAAGCCTTTCTTGTAACTTAGTGTAGTCCAAAGATTCTGCCGGAAAGGTCATGATAACAAAGTTTCTTGGACTTCACTTGCATCCTACCTAGGGATATCCAGATGCCAGCAGAAACTAGAATGAGACGAAACCGAGTTTCGATTGATCGAATGCTGGAACCGAACACACAACGGCAAATGCTACAAACAAAAGAATAACAAGTAGGAAAAAAACAGTCATTCCAAGGAAGCATAGGTGACAAACAGACCATGTGCAGTAGGCATTCTGTGATAATATAAGCATCTCCATTCGTGTTTCTGGTTTGAACCTTCAGATTTATACGCCAATCGCTGCTAAACTCCATGAAACTTTCTCATCTGTTACTGCTGCTGCAAGTTTTGTTGGTGGGGTTCGTTAATGCTATACCGTATAAGCGCGTATTCTGTCCTAACAAATGTGGCGATGTTGACATACCTTACCCTTTTGGAACTAAAGAAAGTTGCTACCTAGATAAGTCTTACCACATAGAATGTAACTCTACTACACAAATTCCGCATTTTAGAACTGATTACAAGGTGGCGTCGATGGAAGTCATGACTAGTGTCGAAGTTCTGGAGATAAAATTAAATGGCCAGCTAAGAGTTGCTCTCCCAATTGCGCATAGTTGCTACAGCAAGCAGGGAAGAGTAGTTTCTGGCTCACTAACAGAAGTTAGTACGTCCAGGTTCCCCTTCTCAAGCACACTAAACATGTTCACCGGAGTAGGCTGTGACATTCAAGCCCATATAATGCTTACAAAGGCAGGCGGAGTGGCCATGAGCTGCAAATCGGATTGTGATCAGCGTTTCAATGTTAGAAACGGCTCATGCCTAGGCCACGGATGTTGCCATCTAGACCCAATTCCTGAAGGCATGACATCTGCTGCATTTGATGTGCTTCCCACCGAAAACCACACAAAAATATGGGATTTTGGTAGGTGTGGTTATGGTTTCCTAGTGGAAAAAGACATATATAACTTCAAAATTTCTGATCTAAGCACTATGAGCAAAAACATGTCTTTCTCAGTGGTGCTTGACTGGTCTGTCGGGGATACAAAATGTAAAGAAGCTCAAAAGGACAACGTAACTTACAGGTGCAAAGAGAACAGTGTGTGCTATAATGGGAAAGGTAGTCTTCCTGGATATCGCTGCAAATGCTCTCAAGGATATAAGGGAAACCCGTATATTGAAAACGGATGTAAAGGTACCTTCTACACTATCTATTGAAATTACAACAATATCTGGGTCTAAAAGTTAAACGAAACTATACGCTATCATGACGACTATTTCATTTCGTATTTTCTGTTAGATGTCAATGAGTGTGAATCTGGGAACCTCAATGATTGCTTGCCAGGACATTGTAACAACACAGATGGGAGTTATGCTTGTGTTTGCGCAAAGGGTTTCCAAGGTGATGCAAAAATAGGTGGAGAATGCATCCCTGTTCATAAATCAGAAGGTAGATCGGTAATTGCAGGTAATGATACAAATACTACACATACATACAGGCCCTATACCTGTCATCATAACTGTCAAATGACAGTTAAATTAACTACCATTAACTGATATGTATATATATATATATATATATATATATGACTGGTATACTAAGTTTAGATTAACCGCTAATATGACGAAGATTTAATGTTTAAAACTTTGATATAATGCAGGAATCGGTGAAGGTGTTGCAGGTGCAGTTGTGGCAATGATTTTTGTGTACTGGGGAGCCAAGAGTAGGATAAGAATCAAGAGTAGAAAGGACTTCTTCAAGAAAAATGGTGGTATCATGTTACAGAAAATGTTGTTCACATGTGAAGATCCTATCAACACAGGCAAGATTTTCACAGAAAAAGAGCTGAAGAAAGCAACTCAAAACTTCAATACAGCCAAAGTTATAGGCCAAGGGGGTTATGGTACTGTTTACATTGGAACCTTAGCCAACAAAACAATGGTGGCCATAAAGAAGTCTAAAATGATTGACCAAACCCAAATCAAACAGTTTGTTAATGAGGTGATTATTCTCTCGCAAATAAATCATCCGAATATCGTAAAACTTCTTGGTTGTTGCCTAGAGACGCATGTTCCCTTGCTTGTGTATGAATATATAACCAATAACACCTTATGCCACCACATACATTCGCACGCTACTCTGACGTTAGGGAACCGATTGAAGATAGCTGCAGAAACAGCTGAAGCTCTTGATTATATGCATTCAACGACACAAATCATCCATAGAGATGTCAAGCCATCAAATATTCTATTGGACGATGAGTTCACGGCCAAAATTTCTGATTTTGGGATTTCAAGATTTGTCCCACTTGGTCAAACACACCTATCAACATCTGTAAAAGGAACCATAGGTTATATGGACCCTGAGTACTTTCGAACATGCAAATTGACCGAAAAGAGTGATGTTTACAGTTTTGGAGTTGTTCTGATGGAGCTACTTATGGGAGTAAGGGTTCAGTCTTTAGAGATACCTCTAACAGCCTATGCAGGTGCAGCAGCATACCTTGCTTCATTACTGACACATGATGCATTGCTTCTAGTTCTTGATGATCAGATTAAGAAAGATAAGTATGGTGAGGTGGTGAAATGTGTTGCTAAGATAGCGATCAACTGCCTTCACCTTGAAGGGAACACCAGACCTACAATGAGTACAGTGAAACAAGAACTCGAACAACTAAGATGTGCTTTGGTTTCAATAGATGCTGAAAGCCATCCGGAAACACTTCCATTTTCTGTTCTATGAAAAAGGTGATATTTCCAATTTGAGATTCTAAAGGGGTGGTCTGGATCGCTTATAAAAACAACTTATTGACTTATTTCAGTGTGACACCGGTAGTGTTTATGCCGGTGTCAAACAGGTAATAAGAAGTTTTTGAAGAAGTTTTTGAAGAAGTTAAACTCTTCTAACTTATAATAAGTTGACAAGTGTTTTTGTAGAAAAGCACAAGTTATTTCAAATAAGCAATCCCAAACACCCACTAAAGCTTTTTGATACCCAACACCTTGTACAATAAGTAATTTATTCTATTTTGCTGGCAAGGGCAAGTAATTTAACCACGAGAATTTATCGAGCCTTAACTGGCATTAAAGAATCTCTAACGGATCAAAGGGCCTTTGGCATAACGGTATCGTAGTCTCTAACCTCCTAGAAGATCAAGGGTTCAAACCTCACCAAATGTGAGGAGAGTCTGTAAGTTTATTAAAATCTCTAACGGTCTAACGACATATGTGACAAATATATAATACAGATTTTGGATTATTTGCTTTTCAGCTTGATCAGATAAAGATAGCTTCTTGAGGTTGATTTTGGTTATTTTTTACATTTCAATATAACCGAGCACATTATATTACTATAAGGGCGTTTGGGATTGCTTATAAGAACAACTTATTGACTTATTTCGGTATGACCAATTCTGAGTGTTTGGATGAACAACTTATACCGATGTCAAACCGGTAATAAGGAATTTTTGAAGAAGTTAAACAATTCTAACTTATAATAAGTTGATAAGGATTTTTGTAGAAAAGTATAAGTTGTTTTAAATAAGCAATCTCAAACACCCCCTATTTTTACATAGTTTACTATTTTGATTAAATTGAAAGCAAGTTGACGCATTACACATGATACAAAATTCGACTAATCCATAATGGATCAGATGACTCGAGAAACAAACCATTGTACCAATTTGTAAAAAAAACAACATGTTGCCACTTGGAATGAAACCAATTTGTAACAAATCTAATGACGGATAATTCATAATGCTTAATAGTTAATAAACGGATAAGTGGACCGTCAAAATTAAAGGCCAATAAATTAGATTCAACTAGAAATAAATCAAATAATAAAAGACCGATAGATCATAAATAAAAGACAAACCAGTAACAATATTTAAATTAAAATAACAGACTCAACACCTCTAAATCAAAACAATTAATAAATAAAAAAGTAATAATTGAAGAATAACAATACATATAAATATATAAAATAATAAAATACAAAAAAAAAGTTGAAAAATAATAAAAATAGCTTTATCAAATCTATAGCATTATAGCAAATAAAGTATGAGAAATGGGATGAATTTAGTTGGGTTGGATAGTTGAGATTTTGGGGGCATTATTTAATTGAGGGGGCAATGTAGACATTTTAGCTAGAATCATATTTTCCATCACTTTAATTTAGTGTCGTTTACCAAATATTTACTTAGATAAATGTTTATCAAGTCATATTATTTTACTGAAAGAATATGGTAAGGACCAAAAATCTTACCTGGTAAGAACGAGACAAGGACTATGAATCTTACCCGGAAAGTGAGGGCGACGACTCTTACCATGGTAAGCGTTCACTGGATAAATTGTTGCATAGGATGTCGTTTTGGTGGACTAATATCTTATTGGTATGTAAATAATAATGTTAAATTTTACCCGTAAACATTTACCTGATAAGTATTTGGTAAACGGGCCCTTAGATAAAAATAATGAATTTGTTGGGGGCAAGTGCCCCTACCCTCACCATACATCTGCCTTGGTCACACGGTTGGTGCATTTTTTTTATTCAAATGAATTATTAGTATTTATTGAATTCAATTATATTACGACTAAAAAACGTTTACAGAGTTTTTTTCGTACTTACTGAGGGCCTCTGTTTTTACATACGTTCAGTGCTTATAAAATGTCAGGAACAAGTCTGATTAAGTATAAGTAAATAATATTTACAATTAAATTGAATACACCCAATAAAATAAGTTGATAAATAATAAATAGTGTTTCTAAAAGAGTAAAATCCAAAAAAACCCAACTGACTTTTTCATTTTGAACGGTTTACTCATAAATTTTGTTTGAATGAAAAAATCATTAAACTTTTTCATTTTAAATAAAAAACTATTAAACTTTCTCATTTTTAATGATTAATTAGACCTTGAAATTTTTCTTTAATAAATAAACCATAAAAAATTTGCTATTTGATTACATGTAACTTTTTTCAAGGTTAAAAGGACGTAGCTAATCAATTTTAAAAATGTGATGCTTTATTATTAAAAAATGTTCAAAGATTTAATGTTTTAAAATGAAAAAGTTTAATGGTTTTTTTATTGAAAAAAATAGTTCATGTATTTGACTATTTAAAATAAGAAAGTTTAATGGTTTTATTTAAAAAAAATAGAGTTTTCCTTTCTAAAACTATAAAGAATTATAATAGATGAACTAAAATTAAACAATATTCAACTAAAATAATACTAATATAATAAACATTTATTAATAAAAAACCAATAAAATAATAAAGACAACAAATTAAACTTTTATTTAATAAAAATTATGTTATAGGAAAGTAGAAAGATACTCGCACAATACAGTGAAATATATCTTGATTTTAATGTTTTATTTCTTTTTTTGTCTCTACCGATATTATAATACGATTTTATATGTTTTTAAGAAAACGATAATGTTTTTATTTTTTCATAAAATATAAAATTTTTGAAAAAAATATATCGATGTTAGTATCAAATTAACTATTTAAAAGTTATATTCTTTTGTGTAGTTTTTTTAATTCAATGTTTTTTATTATAATTTAATTTAGGTTTGATAAAGAAGTAATTTATTTTTGGTTTAAGAATGTAATTTTTTATAAATATAATATTTAAGTATTTAGTTACAATAGTTATCCTGATTATATTTAAGATTTTTTAATTTAAAATGATATGTTTATCATGTTATGATTATGTTTATTTGTTGTTAGTTACACGAATTCAAATATGAAGTTTTAATAAATTGTATTTACGCACAATTTACTTGTAATTTTGAATTTTAAGTAACATACATCAATAAACAATACTCCATGTATAAAAAAATAATTTTTTTATAATTTGGATAATTACATTAAAATTACAATAAGATCCTATAAAAATTCAAATAATTATTCTTTATTGTAATTTATTTTTTTTACATCAATATCCACTTTTATTTATTTAATTATTACACTAAAAATTATGAATGAGATTTGGTTATAATTTTTTTTAATTCAATTAAGATCAACTACGAAAATATAAAGTATTCTACAAAAACTGAAGAATTCAAAAGTTAAATAAACATGATTTCATAATATTCATTTCCGAAGAAGTTGAAAAAAAACTTACTTGAAAACTTTTGACAAACGTGACAATGAGCAAAGGATAACGGAGTAGCGAAACGATTTTTTGACAAGCCGTTCAACAACAGCGTGCAACAACCGTTTAGAGATGATGAAAAATGGTTTTGAGTTTTACGTGCTGATAACGTGTTATAGAAAAAAGTAAATAGAACAACAATAGAATAGAGAGAGAATATATAATTCTCACTAATCATAATCTTTTTTATATAAATATGAGTTACAAGTAAATAACTACGATATATTTTAGTTATATATATATATATATATATATATATATAGAGGGTATATTTCTTTTACAACCTTGTGCATTTGCACAACCTTTACAACCCAATTAATTGAGATATTTATAGAAATGATTGGAGTTCATTTATTATTATTTGAATATTTATGGAATATGAATAGAGTTTATTAATTATGATTAATACTTTATATTAGGAAACAATTAAAAATTGAATGGTTGAGATGAAGGTTGTATAGGTTGTAGGAATAGCAAAGGCTGTAGAATAACATCCCTATATATATATATATATATATATATCTTTATATTATTGATAATAATACACTTATCATATAGCAAACTAGGAGTGCTCATGGGTTGGGTTGATCGGGTTGAAGACATTTGAACAACCCAACCCAATGCTTGCGGTTTGAAAAAATCTCAACCCAACCCAAACAAAGTGCAACCCAACCCAACCCGTACGGGTTGGGTTGGGTTAGTCGGGTTGATACTTTGGAACATTAAAATATTCTTGTAACATTGAATATGTTATTTTTCTACTCATAATTTTTTTTTCATCATCAACCATTTGATACAACTTATTCATATTTCTTACGTATATCACATTCAATTAATTTTATCAATTTACATATATATGTTCGCAGTTACTGAACATATATACGAATGAATTATATGGAGATGTGAATAGATTGAGAATATGTGTATATGAAAAGCATACACGATAGTATAATTGTGTAATGTATATATTAATAGAAATTCAACAATCATATTAAATTCAAGAAATAAAAGGATATCGGGTTCATCGGGTTGGGTTGGGTTCAAATAATAGTAACCCAATACCTACGGTTTGACAGTTTTACAACTCGATTAGACATCGGATTGCTTCGGATTGGGTTATTTCGTGTTGGGTTGGGTTGGGTTGATCGGGTTGATCGGATTGGTCGGGTTTTTGAGCACCCCTATAGCAAACCATAACTTATAAAATGAAAGAAAGGGAACAAATAATTTAGAGTAAGCTATAAAATTGGTCCTTGTCATTTGTCAGAAGTAAAACTTTTGGTCCATCCGGCTTTAAAATTACAAGATATCATCAAAGTTTTAAAAAACGTTCAGACTTGATCCTTCTTTATAACGACCATTAAAAAACTCCATTAAATGAGGGCATCTTCATCCTTCTATTGATTGTTTTCCGTTGATCAAAATCGATTTTATGATTTTGATCCCTATGTTTTTGATTGGGTAAAAAACAATAATCGATAAAAGAATGAAAGTGCCCTAATTTAACAGAAAATTTTAACAATGACTAGAGAGAATGAGAGAGGGATCAAATCTGAACGTTCTTCGAAACCACAATAGTTATCTTGTAATTTTTAAACTATAAGGACGAAAAGCGTTGTTTTTGACAAACTGCAGAGACCAAATTTGCAGTTTACTCAAAAATTTATGACAATCATTAATCATAGAGAGAAACATTGTAATTTCAAAAACAATGGGATTAAAGTAGCAATTTCAACAAGGGGTGGGCTAATGGCACCCCTAGCCATTGCCAATGGCACCCCTACTTAGGTTTCAAATTATTAGTTTTATGATTTTTTGTGTTTTTTTTGTCCTTTTGTTATTATTAGTTTTTATTTTATTATTATTTAAATGAAATTATTAATTAATATATTATTTTATTTTCTGTTTTTTATTTATTTATATTATATTTTAAT